TACTATGATTAATTTATAGATTAAACTTTATCATAGTTTTATGTATATATAGGAAAAAAACATAGTATATACAGGGTTTGGTACTATCTGTGGTTTCAAGCATCACTGGGGTTCTTGGAACGTTACTATGATTAATTTATAGATTAAACTTTATCATAGTTTTATGTATATATAGGAAAAAAACGTAGTATATACAGGGTTTGGTACTATCTGTGGTTTCAAGCATCACTGGGGTTCTTGGAACGTATCCCCCAAAGGTAAGGGGGGGACTACTGTTATGTTACACTCAGCAATTTACTAAAAGTATATAGCCATAAATCATAATAAAATAGAGTAAAATGGTTTATATAACTAGGATTCATTGTTTACCAGACTAAAAAGCCCACTCCAAAATAAGTTATATTACATTTTACAACATGAAACAAAGAACAGACTTTAACCAAATTCAAAAATATCTTACAACACTGTATGCTATCAATGCATACTTGCTTATAAGTATATTAAATACATATACTTAAGAAATACACATTTCCTGAATAAAAATTTATCAAGAATTATGATTAGACGTTAATCTATGATTGTTTTAAAGTTGTTACTATATAAATACCGCCACATACAATAGAGTATTCCAATTCTTAAGATCACATAATAAAAATCAGGTCTAAATGTAACCTCAAAAAAACTTACATAATTATTATTATTTAAAGGAATTAAATAAACACCCAAATATCCCACTATCTCAGCATATAACAAAAGCAGGCAAGCAGATCTTAGCAGGGCTCCTAGACAAACCAAAAACAATGTGGAAAGACAAATTTAACTGACTTCAGTGGTTTTGGGTTATATAAATTTCTAAATGTATTCTACAACTGTATCTAACACTTTGACTAGTAAAATAAACTGCATTTGATCTGTGTTTCACATATATTACAAAAGAAATAGAAACTGCTATAATAACCTTATCTCTTCCTACCCATCTACCCCACCATTCTCAAAACAAAACCAAATTAAACAACAAAAAAGTCACCTATCCAGCATTAATGATTTTTTGGTATAGATTAGTAGTTTTCCGAAACAATTCAAATCAAAATTAAAGCTACATTTTTACTTCCACGAAAAAACATTTATATAATAAAATACCCAACAAACAGTCTTAAAGACAGTGTGCTTTACAGCTTTAAAAAAATAATACCACAACTACTAGAGTTACATGTTTTGAGGTCCTTAATATATTTTCAAATTTATGTAAACATAACTTCCAAAATCACCAGAAACCACAAACCCCTGAAAGAAATCTAATGAGAATATCAGAGCTATATATTTATAATTTGAAATAACTCACATCATTTTGTCCAATTCTCTAATATAAATAACCTAATTTAACATAAATATTAATTACAACTGAATATGATCATAATAAATTATTACAGCAACTACTCTAATATGAAATTAATTTCAGGCCTACTATAAAAACATAGGATTAGAAGAGAGCCAGTCTTTGATACCAAGAATTAACTCTATAGTATTTTTCTTCCCTATCTATATAATACTAGAAGATAATGTCAGTTTAGATAAAAGTATTTTTTCAGTACAAGACCAACATTTTTAATAAAAAGGAACCTTTAAAAGATCTAATTTTCTCATTATAAAAGTGACTTTATTGTTTTTGCTGGCTGACAAATAAAGCTTTTCCAAATAAACTTATTTTGGTCTTTCAAGAGTAGGATAAAAATCCACTACAAAAACAGAAACGAGCAACTTCCTATAGTCATACTGCTCAAATTCCAGGCAAAATGGTAAGGTTCTATGGGGGAGCGAAAATGAATTAAAGTTTAGTATAAAAGAGCAGGCACAATAATTTCTCAACCACAAAAATAAAAGAAAAGAACAATAAATTACAAAGGGCAAGTAGGAATCCATCTCTAGAATTTAGGTGTGGGTAACTAAAAACTTTTCAATGAACGTGGTGGTAAAAATGAGAGCTTTTAACTTTTACCTATGGGGGTACAAAAATCATAACAGCAGGGAAATTTTATAGTTCTTTGACACTTGACTATATGACCCATTAACTCTCACATATTCCAGCTTTTTTTTTTTTTTCTTTTTTTCATTTTTGTGGCTAGATGTTTTGCTTCAAGAAAATTTCCTCTATCTTTAGTCCCAAAATAATCCTGATTCCTTGTATTGGCATTACCATTAAGAACAGTCTACTGACAGCAGCCACATACTCCATGACAATCTTCCATTTCAAATGAAAATGATTAGAGAATTTATCAAAAATTTACCTACTTATAGTGCCTGTAGAAAAAAGCAGCAGAAACCAACCAGGAAGATTAATGAGGTCTTAACATCATTTATGAATGTGTATACCAGATAACACGACCTAGGTAAAACTTACTATTTCTGATAAGAAACCCAAGATTGATAAAAGCAGAATAAGCTATCCCAGGTGATTAAAGGCAAACTCAACACACATGAGCTCCCCAGACAGCATTACATACTGAGCAGTAATATATGTACAACTGTGAAACAGATACTACAGGTGCTAACTAGAACTACCTGGCCTAATTACATTCATCAATTACCCGCTGAGATTAATGACCTACACAAATCTTAAGAAGTGAGCCCTCTTTAAATGGTCACTATGAAAACCACTTTCAAGTAATTTAGCACCTACATTAAGGTCACTTATTTTTTCTACCTACCTACACATCACATGGTTATAAAGCATTAAGAGTACATAAATTGTTTATTTCTTAAAGTAATGGCTTCCTCAGATCACCCCATTTAAGCCTAGGTTATTATGATACCAAAGGTAAAATATTTTGGTATACCACAACATTTTCAGTGTGAAATCTGAAATTACTTTTTAACCTTCTGATCACTTTATATCCAAGGATAAGTGTGTAAATTATACCAGTGTTGCATTAAAGATAATTATATGTCATATAGTATGTGGAGTCTGAAAGAAAATATTAAGTCTACTCAGTCAACATGTAAAAATAATCTTTTCCAAACATCATGTGCCATAAGAACAGAAGGACAAGCTGGTTGGCTAAAAATTCTTCATAGATTCAAAGCCCTAAACACATTTATAGGTCACTAATATTTCTTCCCAATACTTTTTGTATATACCATAATTAAGTGTCACAACCAAAAATACCAATAAAATGAGATATTAATTTTTAAAGCTATATAAAAAAAAAACTTACAAGACTGCCAATTCCTCTGTCTTGCTTCATCATAAAATTGACGCAATACAAGAAAGTCAATAACATCTGGCATATCATGATATCTAAAGTTAATCTCCACATCTTTTTTAATACAAGCAGTTAATACAGTTTCTAATATAAGGAATATACTCAACTTTAGAAAGTCAATATATCCACTTTATAAAATACACCACAAAAGTATAAGGATGAAAACACAAACCACCAATTAACTCAATATCTAACAACCACCACCATTAATAAACTGACATATTTCCTTCTGACTTTCTTCTCTACATATACAACAGTTTTATATACATAATTTTGTATTATGCGATCAAAATTTGTATGCATTCTGCTTATCCATAAATATTCTTCAAAAACATGATATTAAATTTCTGCCTAATACATTCAATGAATAATATTTGTTGGGAATCTACCATGTGCTATGACCTACTTTAGGCAGGAGGGATGGGACAGTGAACAGGACAAAGTCCCTACCTGGATGGAGTATCCATCAAAATGGATTTGCCATAATCAACCTTCCCCCTAATATGTTTCCTTGATAATAGGAATAAATCACTCATTCATTTATTAATCAAATATGTGATTATTACTACAGTAATAAGTACAGTTTACTTTCATTATTCACAGTAACTATGTTCTATAAAGTTGCCTAGAACACTAAACCAGTACTAATAGGGGAAATAAAGAGTCAGGTTCCTACAAGACTGGTCACAACACCGTAGTCAACTGATGAACACATAATGTGGCTTTACATGTGTTTCTGTTTAAAGACACCTCATTTAATATATGGTGTTGATTTATTAAAACTGAATTCACATACATCATTGCTATAAACTCATACCTGAATGAAACTTGCCTAACACAGGTATTTTTCTCCCTAAAGCACGTAACTGCCTTCCTGCACTGAGGAACATTAGACAGCATTTCAGTACTATGCTTGGAGCCATTTTAGACAGCAAAGTCGCCAACAGAAGCACAAAAATGGGAAACATGTGGCACTAAACAGATAATGAAAAGGACACCTGTTTGCAGTGTGAGAGCTGCAATAAGAAGACAAAGCATCACACTGTTCAACCTCAACTAGGAACATGCTTATCCGGCAATTCCAATTTTTCACCCCTCTGTTCATGTTCAGGAATGACCTGAAATCTCCCCAAATACTGATTCTGGGGTTACAGATAACTTATAGTAAGTAGGCAATTCACAAATACAGAATCCATAAACAATGAGGACTGACTATACTTACACAGTATTAAATGAAAAACATAAATAAACCTTCAAATGTATATAAAGCCAAGCTCAAAAAAGAAGAGCCATTAAGTTGAATATGACTGTTAAGAACAGCTACCTTTGTTAAAATAATTAGTATTTTTTTTCATTGTCTAAGTCATTAAGTGTACCAAAAATATATAGAAGTATAAAGAATAAAATTAAAATCACTTGTAATGCTATCCCCACAGTAATCACCATTGACATTTTGATGTTTTTCTTTTAGGTGACTATAAATGTCTTTAAAATTTTGCTATCATAAACACAAACAGCATTTCATATCCCCTTTTTCCTCTGTGAAAATGTATCCATCATTCATTCAACAAATATTTTTAAAAGCCTCAATTACAGGGTGGGCTCTACAGAGTAGTCAGCTGTATAAATGTGCCATGATTTGATTCATTCACTATTGCAGGACAGCTGGGGTTTTCCCCCCAATTTTTTGTTTTTATAAACAGTGAGATGGAACTGCCTTACTCAAATTTATAAGCGCTTCTGCTTGTCTCCTAAATTACCAAAAGAAAAATACTGATTTAAAAGGCCTAAGTATTTGTCAGTTTCAATTCCTCTTGTCAAAATACTCCCTAGAAAGCCTGGACCACTTCACACATTCTATCAGCAATTTGAGTAGCTGTTTACAAACCAAAATCTTTGCTACTTCCTAAAATGTGATATTTTAATTTTAAAAAAGTTATAAAATTGGTTATGTATTGGGAAGGTAAATTATTTCCTGATTTTATTATTATTTGAGTAGCTGTTTACAAACCAAAATCTTTGCTACTTCCTAAAATGTGATATTTTAATTTAAAAAAAGTTATAAAATTGGTTATGTATTGGGAAGGTAAATTATTTCCTGATTTTATTATGCATGAAATTAAACTTTTCCTACAGTTTTTATTTTTTTTCTCTTGAATACCTGCATTTCTTCTTTTGAAAATCTGTCTTCAGCATAAACATTTTTAAGATTAGTAATATATATCACCAAGCTGCCTTCCTGAAAGACTCTAAGTTGTCGTGTTTAACATTTTATATACCAATCAGCATTATACATATTCTGCTCATTGATAAATAAGCCATCCCATTAGACCTTAAAGCCTGGCAGATAATAGCAGAAATGTTTATAAGTTGGAAGGAGAGTAATACAATATGTTTCCATAAGGGTTCTTAATGGAGTTAATAAATAATTTAACTATGTGCTCATGTTTAACGATTTAGTAATATCATCATCCTACCCTAAGATCCATTTTTCTCCATGGCTCCTTGTTAGGGTTCAGTTCATAAATTTTATTTCTTCTGACAGCCTCAATATAAGCTTCATGACCCTGTCGAAAATATATTACCTGCAAAAAGGAAGTATAAATTTAAAAACAGAAAATTAGACAACAATATAAATTTTGTTTTCTATTCCATATTCATGATTTAAATTTTAGTGTTCTCACCTCATCACCCATTTGAGGAACAAAAGGAGATTTTCTAAGTGTGGTGTCAGTTATCCAAACTGGAGGATGAAAGTCATATAAATGCTCCATATTTGCAAGTTCTGCTGGAGTCATCCTCTGCAAATTCTGCCAAAGGGAAAAGAACAAAGTTTGGTAGAACAGAATGGGCCAAAATACCAGTTTGATTGAAAAACAAAAGAAACATAACCATTCAAAATGACTATGTTTTGGCATGTTCATCTAATAATTAGTTTTTAAACAGTATACATAGTTGGTTTCTTAACGTACATAGGAAGATATCATTTCTAAAAGCATTGTAGATCTATCTAGCACTTTCCATGCATTATCTCCTGAATTTCTAATAGATTCCCTCACGCCATTTTACATCTCATTGTTGGGAGCTAATTTCCAACCCATATATCCTCTTCTACACACAGCCCGTTCTGCCAAGAGTCCAGTCTGAATGTGACCACAGGCTAATCATCACAAGGAATCTCCTCTTAATTTGAGGTTTTAAGACTGGCGATTTTAAAATATGACCACAAATTCCTTGATACTCTTACTCTCCTCAATAGGTAGAAGTCTCCTCTTGAATGTGGGCTGAACTTAGTGACTCACTCCTAACAAAAATAATAAAGCAGAAAAGACAATGTGCAACTTCTAAGACTAAGTCCGAAGAAGCATTCAGTCTTACCCCTTGCTTAACTCTGTTGGATCACTCACTCTGGGGAAAGTCAGCTACCATGTCATGAGGACATTCAAGCAGTCAGCTCTAAGAAGAAGCACATGTGGCTTCGAACTTAGCCAACAGGCACATGAATATGCTTGGGAAGAATATCATCCAGCCCCAATCAAGCCCTCAGATCACTGAAACCCTAGCCAATATGATAGCATCCTCATGAGTCAAAAATCACCCCACTAATCCCAAATTCCTAATCTACTAAAACATAAAATAATAAATGTCTGTTCCTACCAACACCTAAGTTTTAGGGTGATTTGTTACACAGCAACAGATAAAACAAAGACTTAACATCTTTAAATAAGGACTGCTTGCATGAGATAAGCATGTACAGTGTATATATAATAAATAGGGATAATTATAATCAAGAGAAAAGTATGAAGATAGAACATGTAAAATAAAAACAGTAAACATGGCAATAACAGATACAAAAAAAACACCATAAAATACCTTGAAGTCTATTTTTGGTCTTGAAACCGACAGAAGAAAATAAGTGTTACAGATGGGATTACAAGCAAAATAGAGCTTTCCCTTTGAGTTTTGGGTCTGGAAATGTGTAACTATCAAACCCCCTACTCAGAACAGTGGAGATGGAGAAGTGTTAATAACAAAGTAGCTTTTCCCAAAATAAGTTTACTTTTTACATTTGACTCCTGCTGATGTAACAGTAATAAAAAAAGAAAAGCTCCAGTTTCTCAAAGATTTCTAGTTACTAAACATTGAAAAGACACCTACAGAAGTGTAGATACGTGTTATTTTTAAAGATATACTTTTATTACCTCTTTCTTAGGCTTACTTCCTTTCTTTCTCTTTCGTCTTCTTTTGGGGGGAGATAAATTCTCAGTAGACAATTCATCCTCTGAACTACTACAAAATCGGGTAATTCGTCGACGACATGACATTCGTAGAGGAGGCTGTAAGTTGATTCCTGCATCAGCTGTCCAATCGGAATACCTAGATGAAGAGTCACTAGAAACGGAGAATGTTTTAGCTATATGAAACCAGAATCTAAGAACAAATAGCAAGTTAATCATACAACCTTTAGGAGAGAAAGGAGAAAAAGGGAAGAAAAGGTCACAAGAAGATTTAACTTTAGCATCCTGTCCTGATTACCAACAAAAATTGAAATGGTCAACGATCATGACAAAGATGGAGAGGAAAAAAGAAATCTTCACTGACAACAGAAATTAGGAAAGGATATAAGCCTGAGAATTTTTTAAAGTATACCATTGATGAGGTCTAATCGAAGACAACATCTATAGCCAACTAACAATTCTCCTGTCAAAAAACAAAGTGCAGAGTTATGGAAATAGTAGATACCATACAAAACCCTAAGAGTAGCTCCACCACCAACAACCACATTGGAAGAGGCTGAGGTACAGACTAGGAATTTTAACTGGAATCAGAAGCCATCAATATATACACCAAGAAAACCAAGGGAAGGATAGCCACACCAAACAGAAAGCTATACATAGTCAGTTTCCTCCCCAGAAAGGGACTCTCCCTGATAAAAGAAATCCAAGAAAGGGACTAGTCGTGGCCACACCCTGAAGCAAAAAGAGTCTAAGAGGAAACTAATCAAGAAAACTAGCTCCTGGCCCACTATTAGCTTCACCAAACCCAGAAAAGCATGATAAAGGTCTCTACTGGGGCTATCCTTGGCCCAGTCTCCACCACACACCTCTAAATCTCTATAAAACACACAAAAATACATTCCTAAAAATTATTATAAAAAGAGCTATTTATAAAAATTATAACAGCCATCCCCTGTATTAATAAAATTCAAAAATAGTTAACTAAAAGATAATAGTTTAGATAATACTTAATTAAAACAAAGTAGAATCATGGTTGCCGGGGCTGGGGATAGAGTGGAGTGGAAAATTGTTCTTTAATGGGTATAGAGTTTGCAAGATGAATAGGATTCTGAAGACTGGCTGCACAACAAAGTAAATGTACATATACTACTTAACTGTACACATAAAAATAATTAAGATGACTTTTTTATGGTTATTTCATCACAATTTAAAGTAAATTTTTAAAAATATGATGAATAATATGCCTATGTTCTTTAAAAAAAAAAAAAAGTCACTCTAGCTGCTAATCATAGCGGAGCGAAAGAAACAACAAAAGAAGCAGAAAGTAAATGATGATGACAGTGATTTGGACCAAGATAGTACCAATGAAAACAGATGGTGGTTTGAGCAATATTTAGGAGTGAGAATTTTCTAAACATGGTTATAGATAGATTGTAGAGAGAAAAGGAGAGGAACTAAAGTCTAGGTTTCCAACTTGAGCATGTGGCAAGATGAAAGTGACATCTACCAACATGAGAAACAGAACTTGACATTCCGGTTTCATGAAATTTGTATCCGAAAACTAAAGAAAGTGTAACAGAAGCAATAATAATAAATATACTGATGACTTTTACCACACCTACTTTATATACCGTTCTTTTTAAATGCAGCCTAAGACTAAATTGATATGTTTAGTATGCATCTGCAACACTACTGGGTCAGATGCTAACAGTCAACTAAAAATCCCTAAAATATTTCCCCAGGAACAGCTGTTAACCCAGTTTCCTTTTCCCTTTAAATGTATTAAAAACTCAGTGGTTATTTGTTCCGTAGCTGCAAACTCTTGCTTTGAAGGTCATTCAAGTACAGTTCCATCCAAGACTATAATTAAAATGCTTATAAGATCAAAACAATTAAAAACAGATACCTTGAACTTTCACTGTAACTTTCACTTTTTCTATCACTTTTCCATTCATCTTCTTCAGAAGAACAAGAACCTTCGCTTTGATCACAGGAAGTCTCCTAATTTGTGAGGGAGGAGGGGAAAAAATCTTGATCCCTGAAGTTAAATAACACATGTCAAGACAACTGCTTATAGTCATCCCAATCATAAAATTAAACCATCTACAAAATAAGGATGATGATCAGTTAATAAAAATATAACTAGATAAATTTAAAACAAAAACTAAACTTCTTTACTACAAGCCTTTTCTTACCAAGGAATACAGCAAAAGAGAGTATTTGTGAGATTTAACACCACCACCACCATCAAAGAAAGTGATACAATAGGCCATCCTCTGAGTGGAGTTAGTGAAAGGTCAGTGTCAATGTTCTCAGTGTTTTGAACTTCTGCTGTTCTGACAGGTGTGCAGTGGTACCTGATTGTTTCACTTTTCAATTCCCTAAGACATTTGATGGTGAGCATCTTTTCATATAGTTATTTGCCATCTGAATATCTTCTTTGGTGAGATATGTTATATCTTTTGCCCATTTTTAAATTGTTTTCTTATTGCTGAGTTTTAAAAGTTACTTGTGTGTAAGTCCTTTATCAGATATAAGTTTTGAAAATATTTTCTCCCAGTTTGTGGCTAATCTTTTCATTCTGTTAAAAGTATCTTTCCCAGAGCAGTTTTTAATTTCAGTGTAGTCCAAACTATCAATTTTTTCCTTTGTGATCATGCTTTTGGTGTTGTATCTAAAAAGTCATTGAACCCTTAAGGACACATAGATTTTATCCTTTGTTGTCTTCTAGAAGTTTTATAGTTTTGCATTTACACTTACATTTCTGATCCATTTTAAGTTAATTTTTATGAAAGGCTGAAATCTAGACTGTTTTGAATGAGGATGTCCAGTTACTCCAACACAATTCGTTGAAAAGACTATGCTTTGTCCATTGAGTTGTCTTTGCTCCTTTGCCAAAAGATCAGTTTACTGTATTTCTGTCTGTCTACTTCTGGGCTTGCTATGTTATTCCACTGATCTATTTCTCTATTCTTTCACCAGTACCACTGTCTAGTAAACTGTAAATCTACAGTTAAGTCTTAATGCCAGGTAGTTTCAGTCCTTCAACTTTGTTCTTCAGTATTATGTTGGCTATACTGAGTCTTCTTCCTCTCCACATAAACTTTAAAAATTAGTTCATCAGCATCCACAAAATTAACTTTCTGGGATTTTGATTGGTATTGTGTTGAATTTATAAATGATGCTGTAAAGAAATGCCATGTTAGAAAGGATATGGATCAACATGAACTCTCATTCATTGTTGACGGAGAATGCAAAATGGTACAGTCACTTTGGAAGACAGTTTGTTAGTTTCTTACAAAGCTAAACATAGGCCTATCATATGATCCAGCAATCACACTCCTTGGTATTCACCCGAAGAGGTGAAAAATTATGTCCACACAACAACCTGCACACAGATGTTTATCACAACTTTATTCATAACTGCCAAAACATTGAAGCAACCAACATGTCCTTCATTAAATGAAAGGATAAACTATGGTACATCTAGACAACTGATTATTATTCTGTTTTAAAAGAAATGAGCTATCAAGCCACGAGAAGCCATGTAGAGGACTTAAATGCATATTACTAAGTGAAAGTAGCCAATCAGAAAATGCTACATTCTGAAAATGCTACATTCTATGTATTCCAACTATATGACATTCTGGAAAAAGCGAAACTATGGAAGCAATAAAAAGATCAGTGATTCCCAAATAAGGAGAGAGGGGTATAAACAAGTGGAGCAGAGAGAATTTTTAGGCAGTGAAACTATTCTCTATGATACTATAATGGTGAATACATTAAACATTTGTCCAACCCCATAGAATGTACAAAACCAAGAGCAAACCCTAACAAACAATAAACATTGGGTAATAATGATGTGCCAATGTAGATTCATTAACTGCAATAAATGTTCCACTCTGGTGCAGGATGTTCATAGTAGAAAAGACTGTGAATGTCCGGGGGTAGGGAGTATATGGTATATGGGAAATATCCATCTTCTGCTCAATTCTGCTATTAGCCTAGAACTGCTCTGAAAAAGAGGATGTAGAGAAACCAGAACTCTCATATGTTACTGGTGGGAACATAAAATGGTTTAACCACTTTGGAAAACAGTCTGGTAAATCATCAAAAAGTTACACATAGTTACCATATAAGCCAGCAAATCAATTCCTAGGTATATACCCAAAAGAACTGAAAATGTATGTCCAAACAAAAACCTGTACATGAAGGCTGGTAAGCAGCATTATTTCTAACAGCCAAAAAGTGGAAACAAATAAAATGTGATATTATCTATATATAATTGATCAAGAGAAATGAATGAAATATTGATACATGCTACACATGGATCAGCGTTAGAAACATACTATGTGAAAGAAGCCAGTCACAAAATCCTATTGTATGATTCCATTTATATGAAATGTCTAGAAAGAAAGTATATTAGTGTTTGCCAGGAGCTGGGGGAAACGGGACATGCGGAGTGACTGAAAATAAGTATAGGGTTTCTTCTGCGGATGATGCAAATTTTTTAAATTAGTAATGGTGGCACAACTGGCAATACACTAAAACTACTGATATATATATATATATATATAGTGTGTAGATATTTCAACAAAGCTATTAAAAACCTTTTGTTAGAAAAAAATTCAAACTGAAATTTCATCTTAATCTCTACAAAATACTCAAATTTTGGGTAGATTCAAAGTAAAGAATTAAGACAAATTCATTTAAGATTACTGCATATATCTTAAAGTTATCCCACTTACATGTCTTATAGAGCTTGAAGATTCATTTCCAGAAGATAACTGACGCTGACCAAGATTTCTTCTACCATAATTTGGATATTTACGCCTACATGTCCTCTGCCTAGGCTGTGACACCAAAACTACTGAATCAGACTGAAACATAATAAAACATGTGGATGAAAATCAACACCTAAATAAGGATAACATCAACAAAATAGGCATTCTATCAAGTTCCGAAACGGATTTAAGGCAAAAAAATAAAGGCTTAAAAAGAAAATATTCTTGAATAGATGATATTTTTGCCATATACTGTTAATTCAAGTGTGCTATTTTTACTTTTAAGGTCCTTAGAAGACATGACAAAAGGTACATTAGATCAGCATTTTCCAGACTATGCTGTAAGTTAACTGTTTTACCACAAATGAGGGAAAATAACAATACCCCCACAAAAGGATGTCACTTTAAAAAATATCAATCTCAGAAGTGAAAAATATATATCATATAGTATAATGTAGCAACCAACCTTAAGGAAGCTACTACTGTCTAAATAGAGAAATATCCCGGGCCGGCCTGTGGCTCACTCGGTAGAGTGCGGTGCTGATAACACCAAGGCCACGGGTTCGTATCCCATATAGGGATGGCCAGTTTGCTCACTGGGTGAGCGTGGTGTTGACAACACCAAGTCAAGGGTTAAGATCCCCTTACCAGTCATCTTTAAAAAAAATAGA